CTATGTGTGTATATGGATGTGTGGGTATCTATGTCTAATGTATGTGTGTCTGTATGGTAAATGTGTGTATTGATATGTGTGTATATGGTGTATGTGTCTATGTCTAATGTCTGTGTGTCTGTGTGTGTGTTTGTATGGTGTGTGTGTGTCTCGGCATGAGGAAAATGACTCTGAGGACTTCTGGATTTTTACAGAGCGATGGGAAATAAGGACAGGGCTTTGAAGAGTATTGTAACTTTCTGTCTGGCTAAGGAACATACAATCGCATCGACCCTCTATGCTCACCTTCACTTCATAGGAGGAAATGTTTTTAAAACTAACAATAAAGGGCCATAACCTGGTGCCAAAGCTCAGTGTTCTACAAAATGCTACATTTTCTTTTTAGATTTTATATTTTGGCTAGACTAATAAACATGCCTTGAATAGCTGGATTGCCAATCAATCGATGAGCATGCAGAACATCAGGACTGAGCAACCAGTGGCTCTGCCCTCTGCCCCAGCCCACAGGTGAGGGAGCCTTAATTCCCAGAGGTGTGGGGCTTCCCCAGAGCAATAATGTGATTTCAGGGCAGAGCGCCTGCACAGAGACTCCAAACTCTAGGTAAACCTTGCCCTATGACATCATTGTGCCTATTCTCATGTGTTTCCTACAAACTGTCCATCCCTGTCTAATGTGGGGTTAGTTTACTGCCACATTCACTTCCCTGACAGTACTTCTGAGGGATGAGATGCCCACCACAGAGCAAGCCCATGGCAAAACAGCCTTCATCCTGGAGCCTCAGGGGAATCTTGCTCTTTTCAAGAAGGAGGGAGTGTCTCACCTGATCTTTAGATATGCCGCGGCTCCAAACACCAACAACACCACGGCGATGACTGTCACAGTGATGGCGGCGATACTGCCTGTAAGGGAAAGGGCCAGAAAAGATAATTGAAGAGTTAGCTTGGTGATCCTTAGAGTACCCAATATCTAACCACATCTCCTCTGGGAGAGGAGAAAGCTATTTACCTCAGACCATTCTGCTGGAAGTTAGAACAAGAACAAAAGCCGGGACTTCAATTCTGTTACTGAACTTAAAACGAAACGAAACAAAACAAAACAAGGCAACAAAGTGAGTTTCAGTGAACAGTCAATACTTATTTTAGCACTTATCATGACGTGTTAGAAGCTCTGGACTATGAAGGGCAGTGCACAGTGATATCTCAGAGTCCTTTGTAGAATCATGGGGTCAGCTGCCAGCACTGCTGTGTGCAGGGCGAGGAGGTTATAAGTCTCCCAATGTCCGCCTTCTCCTTTGTCATTGGGTCCCTTGTGAAAGATTGGGAGAAAGGTGTCCTATTCAAGTGCCACTATGAAGTAATGCAGCTGAATTAAAAAACAAAACAAAACTGGAACCACACAGCTGTTTTAGTAGTGTCCACTTTGAAGAGAGACATGCAAATTTCCCGGATGCCATCAGATCAAAGCATCAGAAAAAAGCACCAATGCTTCTCTTTGAGATGTATGGTCAGCTTCCATATTTAACCAGTAAATTTGGACTGTAGAGAATGAAGTCAAGTTTGGTATGCAATAAGGTCAACTGCTCAGGGAATACTTTTGTTGTCATTGCTGTAGCAACAGTTATAAAGGGATGCAAACGCTTTCTGCTACAGTTTGAATCTGATTCCTAAAGCAATATTAATGGAAGGTAAATAGAGAGGTAGACAGACCATATAAAAATAGCCACCCTGGCTCCAAATACATCTTTGGAGTACAGCACCCTTTCTGTATGAGTTTTTGACTAATAATGTATATACTTTTTTTTTATTCTATGTTAGAAGTGTTAATGACCCATTAGATTCCTGTCCTCAAATATTTCAGAAGACTTTTGGTGTAATACAACTGCTTACTCTTTTAGTACACTACTTACAGATTCAACAAGTGAATGGAGCTGTTCTTAAAGGCCTGGGAAAAAGCCGAGAGATCTAGACTGAAATATGTAGACGTGTATGTGTGTGTGTGTGAACACGCGCGCATATGCATGTATGCCATACACACACGCCTGAATAACCGTGATTGGCTGTGTGATCAGGAGCTATTTAGTCAGCTGGATTGACTTGTGTGTTTTGCTCATCTCACGTGATTTTATCACAGGTAAATAGATGTCACACATACCAGTCTGAAGAACTGTTCAATGCATGATTCTGGACCATTTCCTCTCTCTTGCACATGAATCTCCCCCACGTCCTTAATGATTTATCAATTGTGAGTTATTTGGCACCTCTTTTATTTCCAGCTTCCTTCCATGAATGACTTTGTGCTCACTGTTTTCTCTACCAGCCCTTCTACTTCCAGAAGTAGGGCGGGGCCAAGCAGCAAAGCCACTGCTTAACTCTTTAGCAATCCCCCTCAAGTTTTAGGTGAAAGGCTACTCCAGGCATCGCATGCCTAGTGGTTACAGGGGAGAGCCAAGGGTCATTGCTAGCTTGAAGACAATGAGGAGAGCTTGCTGTTTCCATGGAGACTGGCCACATCAACCATGGCAGAGCGCACAACTCCAGGACAGCTCGGGTCTCCACTTCTTCTCTTTTAGAAGGCTTTTGAGCCAGATGAGCGCAATCATCAGCGCAGTTATCTCTCCCTTTTGATGGCATTAGGAAGATCGTGGTGCCGATTGCCGCAACATACAGATCTGGCCAAGTGGAGAAAGCCCGAGGTCACGTCCTCTTAGGAAAACACTCCACTCCTGGTTTGAAAGGCAGCTCTTAGTTTCTTGGCCTCCAAAGTGTGCTGAAATTAGAACAATCCAAAGTTCACAGAAGCCTCTTACGAACTCCGATGAAAGCTTTCAAAGGGAGGGTTAGAACCACAAGGTAAGCTGAGGGGGGCATTTGACGATTGAGAAGGATGCAGTCATTGTGATTAGGTGCAGTTTTTTTTTTTTTAAAAAAAAAAACTCACCCTTTTAATTTACCCCCAGGCTCCTTTTCCAAAAAGAAAGGAATATAGCTGACTCCACTAAGACTTCAACCATCCTAAGAATAGTTTCGTGTGGGACACTGTAGGTCTAACCTTCTTCAAGGCGTCGATCTCCTCCACCTCTGCTATCTACCCAGCTTATTTCTACACCACTCCTTTTAAAATAAACCAGGCAGTTCCCCCAACTTAAGCGCTGTTCTTTGTGTGTGTGTGGAGAGAGCAAGTGACAGAGTGTCCTGCTTCTTCTCCACGTCACTGTGGTCATCCAGCTCCAGGAAAAGGTTCAAATCTTCAAGGCTACCCTTCCGTGGCCGCAGGTGTCATCATCGTTATTACCAGAGACGGAGGTTACCGTTGACTTTTTCTTGGTAGTCTCCTGGGGGACGCTGGGTAAAGGGCCCTCTAGAGAGTTGGTTCCACCAATGGGAAGCAGAAGTATAAGGTAAAATGGTTTGTGCTGAAGTTTGGGATCTTTTCATGAGCCGCCCTCTACACCTCCATTCCTGCCCCATCCTCACCCTGAGAGTTGGAGTCTTCTGGAAGGAGATTTAGCCTGAGCCTTGAAGAATCTGTGTTCTGAGCTTTCCCTCAGCAGCTGTCTGGCCTGGCCTGGGAAGCCCCACTTGGTGGTGGTGGTGGTGGTGGTGGTGGTGGTGTGTGTGTGTGTGTGTGTGTGTGTGTGTGTGTGTGAGAGAGAGAGAGAGAGAGAGAGAGAGAGAGAGAGAGCTGCTGAGCTCCTTAGAGCACTGCTTTCTGTGGTAATTGTAAGGTTTTTTTCCCCTTGTGCAAACAAATGCTGCTCCCCCAACTTTCGTGTAAACTAACCTGGAATTCCTCTTGTCATCTTATTCTCCTTTTTATTTTATTTTTTCCAAGATGGGATAAGGAGAAGAAAGAGGAGGAAGGGTTGTGGGGAAAGCTTTGCCCACAAGGGATGTACAGGACCTCACAGACTCTATGCTAAGAAAGGGCCTGGGGAAGTTTGCTGGCGCTTTTCTTCCTTCTCGGGATCCATTATTTACTGAGCAGGTGTGACTCACGCAGTAAAGCTGTGGGATGGGCAGACGTGGGAGAATCCGAGGAAACATAGCTGCACATCGTGTAGCCAAAGTACAAGCGTGTACTGTGCCAACATGTTCTGCCCAACCAAAGAGCTCATGAGGATCCAGAAACCAAAGCCTCCGTGAAGTTCATGCCATCTCAAAGCTGGGATTTCTCAAAGAGTCGCTTCTTGTCACTTGTATAATCCCCAGAATGAGAACAAAGGGGCTCAAGGACAAGGACAGCTCCCGTCCTTTGCAGGCAATTACTTTGGGCCAGTTCTTGACCAAGAAGGTTACGCCTCTCATTTAATGCTTTTTTATGAGCTGAACGGATGCACTCTTGTTTTATAGATGAGGAAGCTGAGGCCTAGGAAGACAGAGACGTTGATTAAAGTTTTACATTTGGCAACTCACGGAGCTGAGTACCATGTGAACCCAGAGTTTATTTCATCTTTTGAGTTGCGGTCATCACCACGCTAGTTGCTTCCTGTAGCCCATTCCATGGACGATTTGGCTCTTGCCTTCTTGGTTCATTTGTTTGATTTGTTTTTGTCTTCTCCCTCTATGACATAACTACGTATGAAGGCTTCTGAGGTGCTCTTCCTGACGGACGCTCTGGACTAACTAATAACGTGGTTCCTGCTACCAAACACTGGTTGTGGTTTTGAGCTTCTTTTGGCCGATTCTAATCATAGCCATCTTGCATCTTCTTTCAGCCTTGGCATATTTTTAGCACCAGGCACTGTCTCCAGCCCACGGTAGGCACTTAACTCTTTCCTTCAGTGTTGAATTATTCATTGTGATGCCAGCAAGGAACATGATAACCAGAAGTTTCGATCCCAGTCACGGCACTAAGGACGTTCTTGAACACAGACAGGCTTTGCACCTCTTCATCCTGAACCCTCGGGTCTCAGTCTTATCCAATCACCTGCTTCTAGGACTCCATCCTGCCCCACTCTGGACCTTCACCCCCACACTATATAACGATGAGTCTCAATGGGTGGCTGGAAGAGAGTTAATTTAGTAATAATTGACTAGAGATGGATTAGACCTGTGCAAGAGCCATAGCAAACTCCTTAAAGGACATGTCCCTGCTGAGATTTGGCCAGACACTGCTCCCTTTGTCAATGACCAGCGGCAGTCCTGGAACAAACATTTTAAGGGGCTTCTCTCTCCACGCTTGTCTCTAACCCACAGATGGGTGGACTTTCTCGCCCCAAACTCAAGGGTTCTTCCTATGTCTGTGCTACCTCCTGTATCCCCACTTTTAGAATTTTCTCCTTGAGTGAACTCCCCACCCAAGTTAATAAAAAAGAAGCCTTTCATTTGAAGTTTTTATTGGGAATATTTGCCAAATGCACCCAGAATGCAAATGCTAGGGCATGGTAGGGTGAATCTAAATATGCTGTGAACACACTTGACCAGTGCTTTCGCGGGTGTTGCTTACGAACACAGGGGGTGGGACAGGCAATGGAGGAGTGTCCAAGGGTGAGGAAAAGAAGAGTGCTTAGCTCCTGTCCATTGTTTGACACGTGAGCCACATAGTCAGAGAATTTGGCTCACATTGTGTGAGTGCCTGGCCCAGGTCCTGGGTGTGTGGACACACTCCTACTGTATTATAGCAGAGTGTGAACTCTTGACACAGAAATGGGCACACATTCCTGTTGTATTTAAGGAGAGTGTGAGTGCCTGACCCGTGTCTGGGTGTGTGCACACACTCCTACTGTATTTAAGTAGAGTGTGAGCGCCTGACCTGTGTCCTGGGCGTGTGCCCACGCTCCTGCTACATTTAAGCAGACTCATTAACAGCTCTCTCAACTGTTCTTCAGGATTATCATGCTTTCCTTCCTTCTTCCTGGTTCAAAAAGTCAGGGAGAAAGAGACAGGAACAGGTGGCCACT